GTAGACTAACCATTCCAGGTCAGGTCTTCAGGGACTTCTCCGTTCCATCCAGAAGGCTCATTGTAAAGTCTGGGAACCTACGTACAGGTTTAGGTAGAAGTGCAGGTATAGGTGGGGACATTGTTTCAGTCTCTGAAAACCTTGCACTAACATCCCCAGATGTTCATGGTACCATTGCTCCTGCTGGAAGAGTGTCCAGCTTCCTGGCTGGCTGGAGCAGCAATGGGACACGTACATGCCCACATTGGCAGCTGTTTCTTTTAGTGCCTTGTGCAGAACTGCTCAGTGGGTCTTATGTTACAGATTATGCTTTCCTGTGCCTATTCCCTCCTCCCCCTTCCTTCCTGGCAGCCTTTCTCCCTGTAGAAGGCAGCCTTTGCTTTTCCAGCCAATAGTATGCATCCCCTTAAGAACTGATGCTTTTTCCCATTTAACCCAGTGCAGTTTGTTGGATGATCCCATGTAAAACAGTGACTCATCAGATCCTTTACAGTGGGTTTCTTGGCCAGAGAGGGACTTATCGGCAGGGGAGTGCATGCAGCTCAGCTTACTTTCCAGTTGTTCACACAGCCCTGGAACTCGGGAGAAGCCACAATGTGGTGACTGTTATTTGGGAGATGATCCCTGCTGCTGTAGCAAGGCATGTACATAATTGTGTCCCTCTCAATAACTTAAAGTGGCAGAAACCTACTGCAAAAAACCCACAAGCCCCTCACTGTTCCTAGGCCCCAAATTGCTGGTTTCCAGGTAACTGTTTCTCTCTGCCAGGGGCCTGAGGCAGTAACCCATCTGATGTTTGCTTTGGCAAAGCCATAGCTCTTAAAGCGATGCATTATCAGAGGCATAAAGCGCTCTTTATGTCTCCATGCTATAAACAAAGATATTATCAAATTTGCAAGGAGCCACTTTCAGTTGAGGGACTCTCAGCACAAATGTTAGAAGCAGCTACAGGAGGGAGATGCCTGTCTGTTGGTCCACCTGGAGAAGCTGTTACTTATGGGATACAAGATAGCATGAAACTGCAAATGCAGGTAGAATTGTAGGGTTGGAAGGGACGTCACATGTCATCTGGTCTCACCTCGTACTGTGGCACGGGATGCTTTAAATTGTCCCAGGCAGATGCCTGTCCAACCTCTTTTTGAAAACCTTCAATAAAGACGATTCCCCAACTTCCCTTGGTTCCTTGTCCTGCAATTCTGACAGGGGATTTTCCTGAGATTTGTTCTAAATGTTCTTAGCTACAATTGAAACCCATTGCTATGTGCCTTGCAGATGTGGTGGGGAACAGTTGTTTTCCCTCTTCTTTAGATAGCCTTGCAAATGCTGGGCCCCCGTGCTAGGTCTGCACAGATTTGGGTCCATGCAGGATTCAATCAGTTATGAACTTTTTGTGTGTTGGAACCGTGGTGGATGACTCAGATGGTATAACCAACTAGTGGAGTCCCCTTGTTAGGTTTCTAGTGCAATGGAAAATCCTGTACAGTACAGGGAGCAGGACTACATGGGCACTTTTACATGTGACTGGGGTTTAGTCCCCTAAATTGAAACTGTGGGGTTTTAATTGCAGTGGGACTTGGCTGGGGGGAGGATTGGGCTCCTTGCCACTTCTGCCTTCAACCTGCCTTGCCTGCAGCCAGGGAGTGAGCTGTCAGATTAAAGGCTGAAACATTACAAGTAACTAGTTACAAACTAAGCTACAGGGGGATGCGGCTTAGTCTGCAACATAACAAACTCAATTAAATCGCAAAAAAAATCCGTATGTGTAAAGCATGGCACAATTAAACCGCAAAAGCGGGCAGTTTTCGTCATGTGTACAAGCACCCGATAATCGTAGGCACCTTTTTTAGAAACCTTTAGTAGGATTTTCCTGCGGTTAGATTCCTAGCTGATGAGCCGGGCTCAGCAGCTTCTAAATCCCACTTCCCCTCAAATTATGACTCTCAAGTCACCCTTCCTCTCCAGGATCTGTAATGGAAGGTGGCAATGCCACTGCAACCCCTTCAGAATTGTTTGTGCTTGGAGTGCCCAGAGTGTTTTGGCTGGGTCTGCCCTGGGGGCATCTCAGCAATTACGTGTGGATGTTTGTAAAACTTTTTGCATTCTCTTTCTCTTTTTGCATCCTCTGCTGTAGTAGGTATTACCTTGTAAATCAGATCCCTTGAATCGCCAGCACTGAGTCAGTGATCCTTAAGCACTAGCTTTGCTGAACTGGACATTGTGTGTGGATGCCCAACTCTTGACTCCCAAAACAAGTGCTTTACTCCCAGTTTAGCTGCAGCCGGAGATCTCGCAACAGCCAGAGGAAATGCTACAGGAACACATTGAAGGCATACAGGCAGTCCTTGACTTACAACATTTCGAGTTACAACGTTTTGCATTTACAACATTTATAAACTGACACCGTTTCAACTTTATGACATCAGTTTCAACTTTACAACACTTGATCCGCTGCAATGCCTTGCCAGTGAACAAGTTCACTGCATCACCCATCTCCCTGGAGAACACCTGTCCAAACTTCCTTGGACACTTTCTTTAAGAAAGCAGACGAGACTCCAGAAGAACCTGCAGCTGAGACTCCTGAGAAGACTCCAATCAAGAGTCCTTCAAAAAGTCCAACCAAGAGCCTTACAAAGTCCAGCAAAGTCACCTCAAAGAAGTTCTTCCAAATCAATATGATTGCTATTTACAATATAAATACATTAATGTAGCTATATTACTTATCTATAATTGATCAAGTACAAAATTCTGGGGTATTTTTGGTGAAAATAGGGTATCGGGCCTTGGTTCAGGAACCAATCGTTCATGCGTAACATTTTTTCTTACGAGAAAATTGGTTCCAAGTTACAACGTTTCAACTTAAGATGCGGTTTTCAGGAATCAATTGTGTCGTAAGTCTGAGGACTGCCTGTATCTCAAGAAAATGGACACCAAGGTCAAGAGCTGGGAGGAACTGGCTGCCAACTGACTCCAGCGGTGCCACAACCTCAACCAAGTGGCAGCCCACTTCAAGGTAAAGTGTTCTGCCCTTGAAACAGAAGAGAGAGCAGAGGAAGGAAAAGGAAAAGGAAAGAAATCCCTGCCTACGGCCTGTTCTTCCCTGTGGAAAGACCTGTAACTTCTGCAGATGGATCTGTGGCTCAAGGAAGCACTCTTAAGTCCCTTCAAAACCCATCAATGAGCCATGATAGAGGTCATCCTTGAATTGGGGGACTGCTGCCGCTCATGAAATTGGATCCCTTGGTACCTCTTCTAAAAACCCGTGGTGAGGAAGGTCTGGAGATGTGGCTTCCATGGTGGCCCAGGATAGAAGTGGCTGAAAGGAGCTTGCTGACATCCTACGGCTTACAGAAACCTGCCTTGAAAAACAGCCTGAGCATCTGTGGCAGCTTCATTTTGGTTCTTGAGGGTCTTCTAAAGAAAAAGAAGAAATCATCCAGTGTTTGTAACTAGTGCAGTTATTTAGACCACACTGTGTGGTCAGGACTGCCTTTCTATTGTGACAGGAAGGTGAAGACAGAGACAGAAGAGAAGTAGACAGAAGAGAAGTACATGGGCCTCAGGAAGTAACTCAGGATAACTGCTATCGCAGGTGTTTAAGTACTGTTCATATATATATTTGGCCCTGTCTATAAGGGGGATATGATAGTGTTGCAGTATTTTAACTCCACTGTGTCGATGATCAATGTGACGTGCAACTAGCCTAGGCATAAACCACCCTAGGGGAAGCCCCATTTTGCACATTGATGGTTTTTCTGAGCTGCATCTAACACCCCAAGCATTTTTTTTCTTAATTTGCACTGGCAACATTGCTGAAATCTCATTTCTGTTTAGCCCATTCAGAGGGTTTCAGTACCAAGAGGGGGTTTTCATTTCACTTGGCTGTTTCAAACAGGCTGGGGAATGGGTTGCTTGCTGGTGGAAAATACTCCTGATCTAGTCCCTCAAACATCCATAAGCTGTTGGACTCCGTTCATCCCAGCCCAAGTCACTCGGTTGGTCTAATTCCTGATTTTATTTCAGCCAAACCAAAAGATTTTAAATCAGTAACATATGAGCTTCTGGCTGAAGCATTACTGAAGTTTCTGTCTGGTGACGATTCAGGTCTGTCTGACTTGGGCTTTGTACCAGGATTAGTATGTCATTTAGGGGTGTGGTGTTTTTACTTAGATCGTTCTACCAGGACAGCCCCAACTGTGGTGGCAGATTCTCCAGTGTAACTATAACTTATACCAACACACCTCCCCTTCCTTATAACTGCTAGTATAAAGAACCTTTATAATGGCATAACTGCACCCACTCTGGGGGCTTCTCCTCATGTAACTCTATCCCTGCAGTTAAAACAGTATAACTTTGGCATGTGGGCAGGGGCCTTCCTCGCTACCAGGCTCTGGAGTGACGGCTGCAGTTCAGTAGATGGTTTGTAGCAATTAACAAACGCCCACGGCATTGCTTCATTTTTAATTGAAAACATTTGGAGGGGAATTAAGAGAGGAAAATGCTTTGCATTTATATGGAGGTTTTATTCTTCTGTTGCTGAGAAAGGATCAGCATCCTTAGCCTTTTTTTTTTACAGGTGGGCAGACTGGCTTTATGGGAGGAGTAGTGCCCAGTCTCGGTGGCAATAATAAAGCCTATAGAGCAGGGGCGGGCAATTATTCCAGGCTGAGGGCCACTTACTGAGTCTTAACAAGCCATCGAGGGCTGCATGACAGGGGCTGCCAGGGGCAGGTAAATACTAATTTTCTAAAATTTTTAGGGGCCCCCCGGGCCGGATAGAATGGCTTGGAGGGTCACATCTGGCCCGCGGGCCGCATTTTGCCCACCCCTGCTATAGAGCTTTCAATTCCAACTCCCCTTTTTATCTACTCAATATTAGCAGAACCTATGTGTTAATACTTTGCAGGTTGGGGGGGAAAAGGAAGCAGGTTTTTTCTGTCTCCTGGACTTACAAACACTGAATAAGGTCCCTGATGCAACTTAGCATAGCCATGAATGAGAAGCATGTCTTCATTTTCCAGATCAGTGTGGAGCATGAACCACAGCCCGATCTTCACAGGTGCTGAGCATTGTTAACTATTCCTGAAAGTCTTCAGGCAAGCCCTAAAGGTGTCTCTTAAAAAGCTGAAGAGAAGGCTAGATTCCCTCTGGTTTCATACTGTAGTTACTTCAAGTCTGACTTGCTGTAGGCGGGAAGAGGGATAGGGCATGGGGCTGTGAGGGGTGTAGCTGGGGATACGTGTGCTGGAAGGGTGGGGAGAGGAGCATACAAACAGGACGTTCCAGCAGACGAGGACGCTGGCTCCTTATTCTTTTTAGACGGGGGTTTGTGTCCAAAAAATGTGCCAGCGCTGTTCTAGGGCCAGGGCTGGCAGGGCCTCAGTCTGGAGCTCATGCTAGTCCTCAGCTCGCGCTTGGTTGCTGTTTCTCAAAAGACCGTTGTGCAAGGGCAGAGCTCAGCATGATTCTGATCCTCCATCGCTCGCTCATGCTCTCCTGCTGGGATGAGCAGGAGAGTGAGAATTAGACGAGAGCCCTGTGCCCTCCCTGCCCCGATCTGCAGCAAGGAGGCTGCGGTGGCATCTGCCACCTAATTAACCTGTATGGGTCGGTTTCAATGAGGGCTGATGGGAAGTGGTGCAGCTTACCCATCAAGGGACTGGTTTCAGCTCTGTTTGAATGACTGTGGGGAATGGGATTGGTGCCTCTCTCACGCTTGTGGTAATCCAGGGTACCCGAGTGCAATATGCTGAAGGGGCTCTTGGCTTCTCCTGGCTTCCTGTACTGAAGTCTTGCTCTTCTCCTCATCAGCCTTTTGCTGCCTCTGCCCCAAGAGCAATGCCCAAGCAGCTTGGATCTCCTTCAGGTCTCTTGTGGTATATGCCCAGGCTCCCCCTGGTCTGTGTGGTGGTGAATGCTCTGGGAAAGAGAAGGCAATCAGGACTTGTAGTAGAAATCATATCCTTTATTAGAGCAACAAGATTTTTGCAAAAAAAATTCTTTAAGTTTTTTAAGATCTTTGCAAAAATCCTGTTGGTCTAATAAAAGATACGATCTCTACTACGAATCCTGATTGCCTTTTCCTCTAGAACAATATGGCTACAACCTGCGTACCTGTGAAAGAGAAGCGCACTCCTCCAGGTGCAGGCAGCTGCATGGTCCCTGGCTAGTGGCACCCTGAACCTTGCAGATACTAGCTGCGAGGCTGCTCGCTTCACGGAAACTCCAGCCTAGCTTTCCCAGGGGGCCTCCTTTTAATAAATGTAATAAATGAGCAGGAGTCGTTAAAATATCCTTTAATTTCTGAGTCGTGCAGGGCATCAAAGATGCAAGGAGAGGGGACTTCCCTTTGCAAAGAACATTTCTCCTCCCCTTTCACTCTATCCTGACCCCCCACTCTCTCCACTGCACTCTCAGGACCATGTCCTCTCTCCTCCCCAATCTTCCTGCTACTTGTGACAGGCATTTCTGGGCTGCACTGCCTGGCAGGGAAAAGGGGAACAAGGTTGGGGACAGCGCGGGTGCGACAGGTCAGAGCTGAGGTGAAGTAAGGAGGGGAACAGGACTAGAATAAAGAAGAAGGTGGGTTAGGATGGCAGGGCCAGGGCTGGTGCCTTGCTAAAGGGGTGTATGGGAAGCCTGTGCTGTGGCTGCCTGGGCAGTACTTCTGTTTGCTCAGAGAGAAATTTGAAAGCCAAGCTCACGTCAAAACATCTGACAAAGCCACACCAATAGGCTCCTTCCTTCCTGCAGGCTGATGTAGTCACTCCTGCCGTGTCCTGCCTTAAGGACTCGCGCTTCTCCCCCCTCCGCTCCCCACCATGCCGGAGACGGACGGACTAATTGGGTCATTGTTTTTCCTCGTGTCCGTGCTTCTGGCAGGGCCTCCTGGGACAGCCGTGCCAGCTGCCAGGCTCCCCAGAGGATGACTGAAGCTAGGTGTTGTGTCTGGGGCGTGTGCCTGGCAGAGGGGCTGTGCCAAGGCCGGTGCCCCGAACAGTCCCCCGCCTGTTCCGTACTTTGTCAGACCACAAACACGCAGGTCCGTCTCGTTCATTAGCTCAGAAAAGAAAACAGCCGGTGGTGGAGGGAGAGAAATGCATCTGGAGGAAAGGCAGAGGAGAGATGAAGAAGAAAGGTGTTATTCAAGGGTGATCTAGGTCAGGATCCGGTTGGCTGAGGAGCTGCTCTATTTCCTCTGTTTTCTGCACCAGAAGCTGGAGACCTGCTGGCTCCTCAGGCCCCAACCAAACCGGGCTTTACAAAGAGAAATAGCATGCTGCAAATGACTTCTCCCTTCCCACAGGCTCTGCAGCAAACCTCCAGATCCAAACCCCGAACGGACCCTTGCAGGGGTTTGCTTCTAAATGTTGGGACCAGCACCCCTGTTTATTAGAAAGCCGTTTTGGAGAGATACAGGGTACGTAGGGGGAAACCTCCGGCATCGGAAATCTTGTGAACCATCTCTAAAGTGTTTAAACCCCACAACTGAGGGGCGTCTTCAACCACTTGTATTTTGTGTGTGGGCAAAAGGTTTTCACTATGGTTAGGCAGTCTCACCCTTGGCTCCACACCTCTGCTTTACTTGAGAGGCAGGTTCTCAAAGAATATCACAGTCGAAGGAGGTGAACTGTCACCGAGACTAGCACCCTCGGGTATCCCAGTCGCAAGGCAGAGAGAGGAATGAATTACTGAATTCAGACAGGTGGTTTGGGAAGCGCTTGCCTGCAGCAGTCATTCTTAAACTTTTTAGACTCAAGGGACCCCCTCAGAAAATGCCAGCTCTTAGCTTTCATTCATTTTTTGACAATGGAAAAACATCAGAGCAATTCTGCTGTTGCAAAGAACTCAGAAAGAGCGCAGCAGGTCAAATTGATTTTGAACCTCTGGATTCATATTTGAAATCTCTTGAGTTTATCTTGTGAAGCATGTGTAAGTGGTTGCATACCTGACACTGCTAATGTTGTGTGGCACCCTTACGAGGATCTCGCAGCATCCCGATTGATAACCACTGGCCTAGAAGGATGTGCATCGCCCATCACAGACATAAGGCCTGCAACAGAATGCAGGTTCAGATCCAGATTCATATTCTGTGTGATCCAGTTGCCTTTCCTCTTAACTTTGTGTGCACTGATCTGAGCCTTAGCTGTGCCTTTCTGTATGCAGGTGACTCATGCAACCACAGATTGGATGAAACCCAAGTTCTGATGAGCTTCCTGTATCTTTGGGTTTCATAGCGTCGGTTGCATTCGGCTCTTTGCAGTGCTGTGTCTCGTCTGTAGCATTTCAGCTCAGTGAGCTCCTGCTCCGTTGGGAAGGCATTATTATAATATGCAGTGTCCTAGAGTAGTATTTCAGACCTTTGGAAGGCTCCACGCAGGTTTACCTGGTAACTATGGTTCAGTCAGTGCCCAGGAGTAAATGGAAACAATTCGTATTGAGGCCAGTGAGAGGCGCTTCTGTTTCTACCTGGTCTACTTTGGCTCCACATCTCTGCTTTGCTGCAGGGATTCATTGCAGGGTTGCAGGTCAGGGACTCTTAGTTAATGGGGGGTTG